GCATGAGCGCCCGCTTATGAATATCTCGCTAAACTATTAATTTGGATTTTCGTTGAGTGTGTGGAAGGACAGGTCTCAGGAATCCAGTAAGAGGAAGCCTCGTATCGGCGAGTCAACTCAAGCCTGCGCCCAAACCTCAAGCTGCCGTAGGAGACCCGGAGGTATGATCATGGTAGCTGCAGAGCCAGTATCGCTTGTTAAATGCGAACAGTGACAGCTTGAAGCGCGAGCGTGCCGTCAGATGTCGTTTCAACACCAGGACCGGATCTTTCATAAACGAGGATGCAGCAACAGAAAGGTTAGCGTCGAGGTTGTAGAGGGCTTCACGGTGGGCATCGAAGCTTTGCAGAACGGACTGTGTAGTGTTGAGGCCTGTGTCGAACGAACTGAAACCTTTGGAAGCTACTAAGCCGAAGCACTCCAGGCTCAAAAAGTAACCTTCAACTTCGCAAAAAGCAAGCATCCTAAACCCGAATTGCATGTGGAGCCAGCGTCATGAAACCGCAACAGTGCTGCTGGAACTCACTGCAAGCGACTTTCGACCACCTTGAGTCCTGCGTGTCCGCGAGAGGTTTGACTACGTCCGCCTGGAAGAGTCCACCGGAGATGTGGCCCGGATCCGGGAGGCGGCTGGAACCCGACACTCCACAAACTAGACAAACAGCACCCACCACCCACCACTCCCAACGACGAAAAGCTGAATAGGTAATCAATACATAAGCAAGTATAAAGAAGCACATGAAAACATGCATGCATGCATACATACAAAAGTACGTGCATAGATCGATAGAAAAGCAATGTATGCGCAGAACGACACGAGGAAGCAGTTGATGCATAAATGAATCAAAGCAATGTGCATAATGACTACATAAAGCATTAGGTAGACACGTACAAAATTATGTACTGCTCATATGCACGACACTGATAGCCCAGGGCAGAATGTGAGCGCATCGACGAAGACAATGTCAACAACTGCTACTTTACTTTTACCCTACTGCTGTTTTTTCTGCCGCCTCCTGCTGCTCCTGCTCCTGTTGATACTCCAACAGCTACTGCTGCTGCTGCTGCCACTTCTCCTGCTGCTGCTACTGCTGGTCTAGCCAGTGCTGCTGCTCTGGCGGTTGGTGCGGCTTACTTTTGCAGCTGCAGCTACTGCTCCTGCAACTACTAGCTGCTAGCTCCTGGTACGACTACTACTACTACTACTACTACTACTACTACTACTACTACTACTACTACTACTACTACTACTACTATACTACTACTACTACTACTACTACTACTACTACTACTACTACTACTACTACTACTACTACTACTACTACTACTACTACTACTACTACTACTACTGATACTACTACTACTACTACTACTACTACTACTACTACTCCTGCTGCTGCTGCTGCTCCTTCTACTACTACTACTACTACTACTACTACTACTACTACTACTACTACTACTACTGATACTACTGCTCCTGCTGCTTCCACTGTTGCTGCTTCTGCTGCTACTACTATGCCGACGACGACCATCTTGGGTCCGAGCCGTTCTGACACAACCCATTAGCCTCCCTTTGTGCAGACCTATGAGCGCGCAGTCAAGTGCAAGCCGCCCGTGGGTCGCTCAGGACCCCAGGTCATTTTTAATTCAATATGTCACAGACTGGCAGCCGAACACCCACAGTGCTGTGAATGGTTTATGTGATTGGCTATCGAGAGTTCGACCCACGAAGGAAAATGAAAGCGAGTTCGGCTTCTGGTCTCCAGGGTCGTTTCTCATTTCTGCAGTTTTATCGATAATCGAACGTCGCGTGATCTGGTAGCGTCCGTATCGGGCAAGCCTTTTTGTTAGGTTTCGTGTGCGTTTGGAGGAGCGTGTGCAGGTTTCGAAGGTCTCGTTGCGCCTTCTCGTGTACAAAGTTCATACGATGATGAAGGTGATGGCGCCAGCGGCGGTGGTAATGCCGGTGCTGACGATTACTGTAGTGGTAACTTAGTAATAACTGATGACGGATATCCTGATGCCAGATGACGATGAGGCTGAGGATGGGCATAAGAACCAGGATGCTGAAGACGATGAGATGAGGAGGGTGACTTTGAGAGTGAGGCCAAGGCTGAGGGGCTGAAGGTCGCCGTTGAGGACGGTGGTGCTGAAAGTGATGAACCCCGAACTCGGGAGCGCTCTCAGGTGATGCAGAAGCGATACTGGAGACGCTACATCTACCTGTGGCCCCTTGCCATGCCGGTTTCTGGATGTTAGGTATAGGGACGTCAAGGCTTCGGGTTTGCAGTTAAGAATTTGTACCGCGAAGGTGTTGGCACATACTTGCGGTATCTATCTGTCTGTCTGTCTGACGGTCTGTCTGTGTGTCTGTCTGTCTTTTTCAGTCTATCTATTGAAATAAAGATCTAAATCTAGATGTAGATATGTTTAAGGCCAATGCTCTACAGTGTTCAGGGCCATGGATGGATGCGATGGGGAGGGTTGTTTAGGAGACTACCGCCTGGAGTTGCAGTAGGAGGTTTCGCAATTTCTTACCGTTTAATTCGGTTTTGCGACTTGAGGTATGATGGAAGAGGTTCACAGATGCATCTTGTGATGGATCGGGATTAAGTTTCGGTTTCGATTTTGCTGAGCCTTCCTGGACCGGCAGCAAAGAGCTGCGAAACTGTAGCATTGTGGTGTGGCTACATGGTTTGGGGCCTTAGGCCTTCAGAGTGTGCACTGGTGGTGCTGCTGCTTCTCCGCCTGGTCCTCCTCTGCTTCCAGCAACAACTACCCCTATTGCTACTACTGCTACCACTACCACTACCACTACCACTACCACTACCACTACCACTACCACTACCACTACCACTACCACTACCACTACCACTACCACTACCACTACCACTACCACTACCACTACTACTACCACTACCACTACCACTACCACTACCACTACCACTACCACTACCACTACCACTACCACTACCACTATCATTACCACTACCACTGCCACTGCCACTGCCACTACCACTACCACTACCACTACCACTACCACTACCACTCCTACTACTACTGCTACTACTACTGCTACTTCTGCTGCTGCCTACTACTGCTGCTACTACTACTACTACTACTACTATCACTACCACTACTACTACTCCTACTACTACTACTACCATTGCTACTGCTACCAGTTACTGCTAGTGCTACGAGTAATACTAGTGCTACTAGTACAGGTACTACTAGTAGTACTAGTACTACTAGCATTACTGCTGCTACCACCACCACCACCACCACCACCACTACTTCTACTGCTACTACTACTACTACTACTGCCACTACTACTACTACTACTACTACTACTACTACTACTACTACTACTACTACTTCTCCCGCTACTACTACCACTGCTACTACCACCACCACCACCACCACCACTACTACTACTACTACTACTGCTACTACTACTACTACTACTACTGCTACTGCTACTGGTACCACTGCTACTACTGCTACTACTGCTACTACTGCTACTACTGCTACTGCTGATACTATTGCTACTACACTTACTACAATGACAAGTACTACTAGTACCACTACTAGTAGTACTACTACGAGAGTACTGCGACGAGTACGACTAAGACTGCTGCTACTACTGCTACTACTACTACTACTACGACGACGACGACGACTACTGCTACTACCACTCCCAGGATTTCTGCGACTACCGCTACCACTACCACTACCACAACCACGACCGGTACTAGTGTTGGTCTTACTATCACTGCTGCTGCTATTGCTACCGCTGCTGATGCTTCTATTGCTATTGTTGCTGCTACTGCTGTTGCTACTCTTGCTCTGCCGCTGCTACTGCGGCTGCTACTGCTGTTGCTACCTGCTACAGCCACTGCCACCCCTGCTGCTCGTCCTCCTGTTGCTTCTGCTGTTGCTACTGCTGCTTTGCTAAGAATGCTACTGCTGCTACAGCTGCTGATGCTGCTGCGGCTGCTGCTGCTGCGGCTGCTGTTGCTGCTGCTACTGTTACTGCTGCTGATGCCGCTAATGCCCTTGCTCCGTGGCCAACACTATTGCCAGTTTTATCATCCTTGTCAGCATCCACATACGCAGCTCCGTCTTCGGAGCCGTCATCATCGTTGATCATTGTCATCATCAACATCATAGTCATCATCATCATCATCGTCCTCATCCTCATCAAGCTCACCCTCATCCTCATCATCCTCCTCCTCATCACCATCGTCATCAGCGTCTTGTTTACCACCACCACGACCACTACCACGAAGACCACTACGAGATCATCTTGATGAACACCGCCTTCAAGTACTAGTTCAATTGAATGCTTTGTAGTGCTACTAACGCCGCCTGAGGATCTACTACGCGCTCTTCGAGGAGTGTCTTTTGTCGCTTAGGGGTCTGGTGCGTGATTTATGATGAGCCTTTCGCACAAAGAAGGACCGTAACTCTAAACCTCAATCTCGAGGACATGATTCTTGTGATTGCTGGATTGCACCAGCTGTGATGCTACCAGTTTCTACCAACGATGACTATAGGGGTAGTACTAACTTTGACCGTGCATGATCGTCACGACGATGATGATCATGATGATGAGGCTAACTCGCCACTGTTCATAAAAGAACCGTAGTGATAACTATCAAACGCAGCATTGCTGTGGTGGAAGTCCGCATGCTTGTTGGAAGATGTGACGATCCGCCGCAGCTCACTCGGCTTTCAAGTTTTCTGAAGCACTTTTTAAAGCTCCGTGTTCTGAAACGTACCGCGGAAGAGCGCGCAGAGCGCGCATGATCCTTGAAGTGAAAAGGGCATGAGCGATTGGTACAGCCAGCTAAAACCCTTGAAGTCCGCTGTTGTCCTTTTAGGGCTTGCTGGGTGACCTGATTGCTTTCCGACGCTTGATTGCGAAACTGCGAATCCGGAAAGCCCCAAAGGGGCTAAGGCTTCCATGGCCGAAGCTGTTGCTGCACCGGTGCACTGCCATGTCGAGCTGTGGGGAAGCTTCTGGAGAGGCCATGCGCCTTGGGGTTTGTATTTTCTTCGGAGGGCAATGAGGGGTATAAGAGACCTCTGCGCCCTTGCTGAGGCTGATGGCTTTTCGCGGCCTCCGTTTGTTTGGTAGGCCAAGGTCCTTCTTCATCGCTTGCGGCCATTTCGCGTACCCTGGTTTCTTCTTGGGCCCATTTCGTGCTGCCATATTAAATATTGCAAGGGTCGAAGGTAAAGTTTTTTGCAACTGTCCTGTCAGCCGGACCACCCTTTCTCTACCTACGGGAGCCAGCCTGAATCCTTGGCTTCGCACTGTGGAGCCAGCAACTATCAACTTAGAGCTTGTTCTGAAGCATCAATCCCTGGGCCATGGCCTTATCAGTTCACCGTGGCAGGACCGTTTGCTTGGCGAACGCAGAGAGCCTTCCTCCAGGCGCAAATTCTGAAGGCATGCGATTTCTCAATCAGTTTGCAGCGAACAGCACTGCTGTTATTGGTGTGAACACGAGTGCAGCTGTTGTGTGTAGTCTCGAAGATCCACAAACCTCATGCACCAGTGGCCGAAAGATCTCAAACTGTGGGCCAGAAGCATCCCCAAGCCCTGAACTTTGTTCTCCTTAGTAGCGGATGCCTGGGCGAACCCAGGCAAACGAAAACTGGTCCCAGTGTCCCTTTAAGATGATCCTGACTTGGAAGCCCGACCCCTCAGCTGGCAACGAAAGCTACCTGTCAGACTCGACGTGGCCGAGCTGCTCAACGAAAGCGAAGAGTCACTGGGAGTGCGTCTAAGTGCGAACCGACAGCCAGAAGTAAGATTCAATCGAGGTGTGTTCTGGGATGTTACGTGTATGGAGACTCAAGCTGCTCAGGGTAGAGACGGTGGAGGGTTGGGGGCGGTGCGTAGTTCAGGACAAGCAAGGCACACACGGTCTATGGCCTTGAAACTCCTGGATGGAAGGTTTGCAGCGAAGCTTCAAAAACCCCAAACCGTGCTCTTCTATGGCCTGGCCTTATACTCCTTATACACTTGACTTGTGTAGTCGAATTTGTCCCGCACAGCCCTTTTCCTCCCAATACTGCAGCCCACGGACCTAGGTCCTGGGTTGGGCGTACACCGAGTTCTGGGTGTATTGAAGTGTATCGGCTGCCTAGGGTTCAGGTTTACCATAGTCACTTACTTGTCCTTGATGCGATGCCCAGGTCACGCTTGGGATTAGACGTGCACGGCCACTTGGCTAGTGAAGCGCGCACGCGCTGATAGAACGCACCGCAGCTCTCAAGCCCGGATGGGAGAAGGGACCCTTAGCTCCTTTGCTCATGTGACAAGTTCTTGGTGAAGCCGCTAAGACAAAGTTCAAGCTCCTCGTCCTGTAGTAGAGGATCCCACGGTCGCATTCGCATTCGCAGATGCTCACTCAATAACAAAAATGCAGGATTCGGGCCCGACCTTGGACATGAAGTTTCCAAACACTTCCCAGGATTTCAGGCCATCATCACGGCCTGTGCACGGGCCGCGCAGTGGCGAGGTGCCTTGCAGATTCTGACACTTGACTGCAGCGGCCTGCGTTGAGGTACTTCCCGCCCTTCAAATCCCAACTGCACCTCCCACGGCCACAACGACCACAGCGACGACGAGCACGAGCACGACGGCTAGCACGAGCACGACGACGAGCACGAGAACGATGACTGATGTTGTTGTTGTTGGTGGTGGTGGTGGTTGTAGCAGTAGCAGTAGCAGTAGCAGTAGCAGTAGCAGTAGCAGTAGCAGTAGCAGTAGCAGTAGCAGTAGTAGTAGTAGTAGTAGTAGTAGTAGTAGTAGTAGTAGTAGTGGTGGTAGTGGTGGTAGTAGTAGTAGTAGTAGGAGTGGGAGTGGGAGTGGGAGTGGGAGTGGGAGTGTAGGAGTGGGAGGAGCTAGTACAAGTACTAGTACATGGTCGAATTCATCACGGCAGGAAACATAAACAACCAGCCAAGTCACTACAGCCACACCAAACATCGCCCGAGGGAGCGGATGCGCTCAGACAGCGTGCAGCCGAACTTGAGCAGTGCCTTGGCCTTTGTTTGTGTTTTGGATGTTGCGCTGCTTTGCGAACTTCTAAGATCTGTTGGTGTTAGATGTGTTTGGGACCTTCCACGGCTGGGGAATCCAGTATTTCGGGTTGAGGACGGGCCAGGCCCACACGTCACCGGAAGCACGACATCCCAATCTAAAATCTCCACCCAATCGTAGCTCGGTGGATTGCTGTGGAGTTGAGCAAACAGATCTCTTGGGTCGTGGGTGCCTGGCGCAGCCTGCAAAGTTCAAGGTTCTGCAGAGACGCCTTAGACTCTTAGACAAACTTTGCAGAGACTTTGTCAACTGCCTACATGCCAGGGGCATCACACGATCATACAACCTAGTTACCTAGTTATCGATGCTAGGTTGAAAGAGGGAGACGCTTGCCTCTTTCCAAAACGTGGGCGCTGTTCAGATGGTTTACAGATGGATGGCTAGGTGGGTAGCGTGATCGGATGTTAGGGTTGGAACAGCGGATTCCGTGTGCAAGGCTTTAGGTCATGCGCTGGGTTTTTGTTTTGGACCAGGGGTCACGGTGAAGGGTTGCCGGAGATGTAGCCTGTAGGATGCAATGTAGAGACTGACAGGCTGCAACAGCGTCATCAGTGCCTGCGAGCGTGGCAGCCGCTGGCCAGGCCTTCAAAAACCAAAGAACCGGCTAAAACGACGGCTTCATCCAGCCTTTCGAAGACTCCGGAAGCTAAACCTCCAAACCTAGAATTTGTGATAAAGGCATACAGACAGAAAAGCTGGAAATGCAATGCGCTCAATTGCGTGAACCAAAACCTCAAGGCCCTCAAGGCCTTTATGCTGGCCCGTGCACGATGGACTCGTATCTGGGCGGGCGCCGAGGAACTGTGGGCTCGTGGGGTCGGAATCCGGGATGTGCTGATGGGAACTGGGGCAAATCGGATGCTGGCACGTGTCTGCTTGTAGAGGGCAGCTCCATATCCAGATGCAGAGCCGAGGCCCCTGCAGTGCTGGACCCAAATAACGGGAGCAACTTTAGCAGCACCGGGCAAGACACAGCTTCGTCCGCGCACGGAGCTCGAAACCAGGCTGCGATGTGAACCCGGCAGAATCGCATCACGGATGCAGCATGCTGACCCATGCCGGGATGAGAGACACTACTCCGAATACAGGTGGAAACAAGAAACCCATCGCCAAGGGGGTTGTCCTGCTGGCCACTTTGTTCCTCTGCATCGCCCTGCGTACTGTTTGGGGTCTGGTCCCGCAGTAGCGAATCACGTGAGGCTGCAACATCGCCTCCTAGGTTTTTGTTTAGGATCTTCGATTCTTGACTCTGCGCCCTTCCGTGCACCGGAGCCTTTATCCCCAAACCCGAAACCTCAACGTCAACGTCCTCCCCACGCGCTACGAGCGCTGCCTGTGCTTCGGCCCTTCTCCGAAAGCTTCTTCGAAGGAGCCCTGGCTCTACTCCGAGACTTGAAATCATGGAAGGCAACGCAAGCGCTCGCGGGGTGAGGGTGATTGAGGTGGCCTTCGGATTTCCAGGGTTCAGGGTCGACTCTTTGTGGGCTTAAGCCGGGCTGTTCGCTCGGCATGGTGCCGGAGTTGTCGTGAATGGGTTTAGCGGTGTGAGGGGGCACTTTGGCGTTCAGATGAAGGCTGTAGGTGACTAGGTAAAGGATGCCACGCACCGTTTCTTCCGGGTTTAGATGGCTCAGGGGCTGGGATTTAGACGGTTCATGAACTCAGACTTCAAGATTAGGACCGATCTAGAGTAGATCATGTTTTTGTCACTCGGAAGATGTTCAGATAGTGGGAACCACAGCAACCAAAAGTTCACAGAGCATCTACAAGCCTTGATCCCAAACTCCAAGCCCCGTGTCTTCCCCAGCCACAGAGAAAAAGCACCACAACAAACTAGCCCCGGCACCAAAGTGCAGCTGCCTCGACCCCTCTAAATGCTTCTCCATCTTTCTACGTTACAGTGTGTACAAGGTCGGAGAACAGACAGCCGGCCTAAAAGAACAAACGGGCCGAGGTGATGAACACTGGGTGTGAGGTTCAACTGGGTTCTCGGTTTAAAGGGTCACAGCAAGACCGCCTTTGTAGGCGCCTCTTTCGGAACCTGCGATTTGAAGCCCTGCCTGAACGGTTGAGTGTCACTGCTTAATCATAAATCAGTCGTAGGTTCCATCAAAACAAACGCAAGACTCGTCAAACACCAGCCGAATCCAGTTCAAATCCTGAAGCCTGAACGGGCAAGTCTTCTGCAACTTTCAGGGATGGGCGACTAAGGAAGGATCGCACAAAAATCCAAGAGCCTGCCACAAGGCCTCTGACCACGAATCGTGAATCACAAGCCCTATAGAAGTCCCCGTCGCGAACCTCACTCCAATTTCAGGTACACGCCGATGTCGTCGGCCTGAATGCAGTGTTGAAGGCCCTGGCGAAAGCGAGTCGCTGGCGTCAGGTTGCTGCTGCGAATAGTATGTATGATGGAAATTCTAATCGGGGTCTTCGGGTTTCCTGTCGGTTTCAGGTTAAGGCGTAGGGTCTCGGGTTCTCGGCGGCTCAGCCGGTTCGGGCCTGGCAGTGAGGTTGAGACAAGCCAAAGCCGAATGAGACCAACATGAGAGACCATAACCCTCGATCCGTCTTCTGTCGATTTTTTTGGCTCTCCGTTTAGGCTACGAGTTGAAACTTGACTCCGGGAAGCCGTCTGCAGATCGCAAGCTTCACAGTTGTTTTGATTTCCGGACATCGGGTTTAGAGACTGAAGGGTTATCAGGGTTCGTTGGTGGGTTTCGGACTCGGGTTTGGAGTGGAAGTTTACGGTTCCCCATTAATCTTTGAGTGCAAAAGCCCTTCGATGTGAGAGCTAAATCCAGCCCGAAAGTCCGCAAATACCAGCAATGAACGCTGTGTGTTTCTGCATTTTTGTGTTGCGGACACGCTCGATACTTCAATCGCGAGGTTTCTTGCTTGCTGTTGGCGCTTCAGGAGGAGGGAGTTGAAGCGGCCGCCTGGAACAAAAGAGCAATTTGTTGGTGCGGGGTAGATTGACCCATCTCTAAACTGGCCAAGCTTTGGCAGCCATATCGGAAGTTTGTTGAAGATCGCTGTTCATGGAGTTTCGGCGGCTTTTGTGGATTCTGGCAGCTTGGACTGGGCAGCCGATTGCTTTAAGATTTCGAACCCTAAACAAACCACCGACCTGTTGAGTATTGAGTTTGGTATCCGCGGCAAGCTTGACAAGTGCGCGGCCGTCCACCGGTTTTTGGGTTGCAGGGTCTAGCACCTAGGATTTGGCCTAGCTGGACTGCATCTTCCAAAGTTGGAAAAATTCGGCTCGCGCCGAGTATGTTCAAGCATGGCCGGAATCGCATGCTCGGTTGTCACATGTCCGGCCGAACGCAGGCAGCCCCTATCACTCCCTCGCAGTTTGCCATCACAGCAAGAAGCGTAGTGTGACTAGTTTTCCCATCGACGACAAGGGGATTTCGACTGTCGTCGTCATCGTAGTGGTAGTGGTAGTGCTCGTGCAAGTGGTGCTAGTTGTAGAGCTAGTGGTAGTGCTAGTGCTGGTGGTAGTGCTGGTAGTGCTCGTGGTAGTGCTAGTGGTAGTGGCAGTGGCAGTGCTAGGCATAGTGGTAGATCGGAAACATACGTAGCCACACTCCGCGCCCACGCCAAAGCAGCCGCACAAAGGACCCTAAACGAGCTGAGGACCTCGTAAGCTACACAGCCGTTATGGACGCGGCACAGAGGATCCTTCCCGTTCAGGATTCAGGATCGTCCTCTCCACCGGGGTTCAAGCATCGAGGGCCTAGCATGCGAGTTCTGAAAACTAGAAGGCTTCGGATTCGCGAAGGATCACCCTCAAACCTGTGTCGATACGCTCTGCTTCCGATTAGATCCAAAGCGGCGTTCGCATCAAAAGACTTCGGAGCCAGCGCCGTAGTGGTTGGGTGTCGGAGCAACGGCACGCCGCTTGTGCAAGTGACGATTCGAGGTAGAACTCAGCGTTTAGATGTTGTGATCGAGAGTGGCCAGCCACCCTCCCAACGATGGTGAGTTTTGTCAAAAGATGTCAGGTGAAGAAAAGCGCGACTTTCATTCCTAAAACATGCTCATGTGGTAGCAACACCGTTCTGTTCTTGCACTTGTTTCCGCGAAACACGACAGAACCGCACGCAGTTTCAGTCAGAGTAGACCTTGCCCAGTTTGGGTAATAATGCCACCGCTAACCCATTAGATAATTATCCCTATACTCCCCCCTACAATTCACCCACATATCACTACTACTACCCCCATTAGATAATTATTCCTATACTCCCCCCTTACCCATCACCCACATATCACTACTACTTCCCCATTAGATGATCATTCCTATACTCCCCCCTACACATCACCGATAAATCACAACTACTACCCCCATTAGATGATCATTCCTATACTCCCCCCTACATTTCACCGATAAATCACTACTACTACCCCCATTAGATGATCATTCCTACACTCCCCCCTAAATTTCACCGATATATCACTACTACTACCCCATTATCAATACACTTCTAGGAATAACCATAACCCCATCTATTATTTCTAAGGTGGCATTATTACTCAAAAGGGGCAAGGGGGGTCTCGTAGGATTTGGTTCAGGGTTTAGGGTTAAGGGTTTTAACTACATTGTAATTATAATATATAACTGCTTATGTATTATAATTACATTATAACTATAACCATGCTAATAATAGTGTTATAGTTGTTTCTATACTAATGAAAATACATAATCTACATATTCCATAATCTCTTCAGTGGTTGTATTATAATATTCTCTCCAACCGACCAACCAAAAATCAAAACATTCTCGTAGTATTTCCTTTACTATAACTTCCTTACTAATTTCAAAGCCGTTAAATCTTATAGTAGCGGTTTTAATCTTGTAATATGCGATTTCCTTTTTAAGCTCTTCTATATCGGTTAAATTGCTAATGACACAATACAATAGCATCACGTGACATACACCGTGAAACATAAGACGTTCGCGGTCTGAATGGTTTCTGATATTCATAAACTGCTTCATTATCTTTCGCAGTGGGTTATTTGACCTTCTGATGATGTTTTTGTATTTTCGCCTATCCATGACTGTATCAATGTCGTGGTTACGATATAGCAAGTGTAATATTATTTTTTGCACGTTGTTTAACTTTGAAAATTTGAGCTTTTTATCAAAGTCTTCCATTTCTAAAATCTTATTTCTACACTTATCGCACTTGTCATATTCACATACACGATTACATATATCAATCGGCAATTTGCTATTTAACACCCTTACTTTGTTGGTTTCTTCGCACTTCCAACAATTTTCAAACTTGAACATTTCCCTGTTAATATATGTAGGTGTTATTTCTTTAAGTCATTTTCCTCAGAATTATTATTTTCTTAAGATTTACTGCATTGCGGTTTATTTGACAGACTTGTCCAAGCACTCAGAACAAGTCGCAATGTATTTAACATAACAATAAGAATGCTTACCAACACAATAGCAACGCTTGAAATAATCAATGGATTTGACTTGCTTACAACGATAACACATCCTAGTATTAGTATTATTTGTTTCAGTATATGGTTCAAAATCAACTAATATCCTATCTGCTCTTACTGGCATTATTATTATTATATACACTTTTTCATAATGCGATATTATGAAAATTTGCACCGGGAGAGACTTAGCTCCTCTCGCGATTGCTCTACATGCAACCGGTTCCTTCAGATTTAACGAAACTAATTACGAATTAATGTCATTACCAAACTCTTATGGTTTGCTTATGAACCTGTAGACTTGCTAGGCACTCGGGGGCATTGGCTCACTTCCTTCTTCTGTGTTCATTGGGGTCTTTTTTTTATGCCAAGATGGCCTGTCACAATAAGCTAGATATTTTTCTATATAATTGAATCAGTTACAGACCGCAAATAGGATTGATGTTTTTCTGTTTTCAAATGTGTAGAACGCGACTTATGTTGATATTTGCCTCCGCATTCACACAGTGTTTTGTGCTTTAGTTTTTCTGCATGTTTCTCACGATATCTGGCGTCATCTCTTGATTTCATTTCTTTAAACTTTTCGCTTTCTTCCATCTTGTATTCAGTTTTGGTTCTGCTTGGAACAATCATATTCAGCGTTGGCTTCTTTTCTCTAATTATCTCACCTTCTCGTCTATTTAGTTGGTAAATGTTTTCACAAAGATAATCTTCAATAAGTTCAATATAAAAGTTTTCTCTTCCATATTTTGTCATTTCTTCATATATCTTTGTATTCTGTCTGCTTGGTTTAATACTGTCATATCTATGTAATGCCATTCTTTGACTTAATGATTGACATGTTGAACCAATGTATATATGTTCGTTAATATGATTCCTGATAACATATACCTTGCCTTGTGAATAATCTTTCTTGTTTTTGTCCAACATTATTTGTTATTGTTTTATATTGTTATTTATTGTTTAAGTGTATATCAATCCAGAACATTTAAATTATTTTTCAACTTTTTTACATCTTCTTTAACTTCTTTCATATCTTCCCGAAGTTCCTCTAATTGTTCTTCGGTTTCTTCTGGTGTTATTTGTTTTCCTGTCCTTCCAAAACCTGTATCACAAAACGAAATACCCCCTAATTGACTGTTAGTATTCTCATTCACTTTAAATATTTCATCCGATGGAGTTATGCCTCTTTTTTTACCAATAGAAAATGAACTCCTATCTTCAATAATTGTGATGGTCTGCTTATTTTCTTCAGTTGTTTTAACTGTTTCTTCATGATACAAGTTTCTTCTACATCTGCAAGGTAAACAATTTAACCCGTCTTTGTTTAATTGAATGCCACCGTCGCTTTTATCATTGTCTTCTTTATCGGTCATCTATATTCTAGTAGATCTACTTTTTCTTCAGTTTTATATACTGAAGAACTGCCTTAAGCAATTCTAAAGAAGCGGTGCAACACCTTTTAAGCTTGGTGTCTTGTATTACAACCTTTTCAATTTCCTCAATATCATTTATTGTCTCTATATACTTCTCCATTATATTAAATCATATATAATTTTCTCTGCTTAATTAATGGATATACCAATAGTCAAACCATATAAAACTAAAGAATACACATTCACACAAAGTAAATACGAGGTAGCGCCAAAACTACCTGCTTCCATGATCATTTCCGCTCCTAGCGGTTCTGGTAAAACTCAGTTGCTTCAGTTTATGATCTTGGATATGTATAGAAGTTGTTTTAGTCGTATATACATCTGGTCGCCTTCAATAAATGTGGATAGTATTTGGATCCCTGTGAAATCATACATTAAGAACGAAATGAAAGTGGATACGGAAAAAGAGACTTGCTTCTTTGAGGAGTATTTTCCAAATGATTTAGAAAAGGTGATAAACACACATCATAAAGTAATAGAGTATCAGAAGAAAAACGACCATACGAAATTGTTCTCTTGCCTTCTCGTTATTGATGATATGGCGGATAATGAAAAATTTAGCAGACATTCAAGTTTGCTGAACCAGCTTTATGTGAGAGGAAGACATAATGCTCTTACCGTGATAACTAGTGTTCAAGCCTATCGGGCACTCTCACGAATTATAAGGGTCAATAGCCGTCAGTTATTTTTCTTCAAGATGAGAAACTACAAAGAAATAGAGACAATGGTAGAAGAACTATCGGCAATGCTCATTAATAGGAAGATGTTAGCAGATGCCAAAAACATAGCCGAAGCAAAGAGACTACTCTTAGAAATCTACAATGAAGCAACAAGCGAACCCTATAGCTTTTTATATTGTAATTTAACAAAAAGTGACATAGACGAGGTTTTTATGAAAAATTTTACACATAGAATAATGGTTAGTGAAGATAACTAAAGAAAAGATATATTAATCACTATCGCTTTTCCCTTTCCCTTTTCCCTTTAACACTCTAATTTCTTTTTCAAGTTTTTCAATTTTGTTTAATGCATACTGTAAGGCACTCCATAAAATTGGTGTTGTCTTTCCATAATCCATTCTTAAATAGTCCTCTTCACATTCATATATTATGTTACCCCATTCGTCAGGTAGTTTCTTCGTTAAAAAATCGTCTGCAATATAACCGACGCATTTTCTATCATGACCTTTATAATTGTATGTTTTAGGCTTGATGTATTTAACGACATCTACACACTTCTTAATATTTATCTCTTTAATATTCTCTTTAAGCCTCTTGTCTGATGTTTCAGTGGAAGCACCATTTACATGTAAGCCTGTGCTTGATACTTCACATATATTAGCACCATTAATACTTAAAAATATTATCCCATCTGAATCTGGGTTATCTACTTTAACTCTTTCAGATGTGCTTACCGTCTGATGTGTAAAGTCCAAATGTCCTAATAAATTAACATTAGCATTAGTTAATTTAATTTGTGGTGTGCTTCCTATTGTTCCAACAATCATATTAATGCTTCGGTCGGTGTCTCCATTTCTTAAAACCAGATTATAGTCTGTCCCGTCTAATTCTTCTTTTATTCCTGATGAATGTTGGAATAATATTTCTCCCCATACTCTTAAACTTGCTTCTGCTGTTATATCACCAATGCTATTAAAAGTTAAATTATTTGTTACTGCTCTGTTTAATGTTATTCCGTTGGTGTCGGTTAATTTCAGTGCTATGGTTGCTGTTGTCGGGTCGGTTGCTCTGTTTGACTGAAAAGAGAAATTGATTTCGTCGTTTGTT